GTTCCGCTACCTAGCAGGCGGACCCTTAGAGTTTCTTCTCTTTGGATCCTCCCCTGCTAGGTCAGCTTAATTTTGTATTCGCTTACCAATGTTCACGCTTTGGATCCTCCCCTGCTAGACCTTGATCTCAGGCCTCCGGGGTTGCCCTTACAGCAGAAGAAACTCTCGATGGGATCAACCGGACAAGATTGCCAGGTTCGGCGCTGACTCAGGCTCGGAGTACGAGTTCTCCTTCTCTGGTGATTCCCTTTCAGTCTGGGTCTTCAGTACTCCCTCAATAGCTTGTAATGCCCAACTAGCTCTGTCTCTCAGCCGCTGATTGATTGTACTACTCCTATAGTGTCTCAGCAAGTATAGGAAAACCAAGATGAAAACATACATAAATGAAATGGCTGTAAAATCAGAAGCTGGATTGAGCTCCATGACAAACTGTGTTAAGCACAGATATAAGTCTCGGAGGTCCTCGCTCTCAAATAGTTTCCACAAAGGGAAAACTTTATACAAACTGGTTCCCTTTGCAGAAACCATTTGTTTCCTGTGATATAGATTTTTGTGCAAAAAGTAGTACTTTTTAAATCAACTTTTGGGAGTAAAAATCCCGCTAAACTCCGGAGTGTCTGTTATTGATAGTTCAACTAGTACTTTGGATGCGTAGATAAGTAATTGATCGCAGTCCGAGACAGAGAGCGCATCTACGGTCTACATCACAGCACCATCGTCGCGCCCGCCATCGCGCCGACCACGACCGTGAAGCCTGAGAGCAGCACCGGGTTGAAGCCGAGGCGCCCGGACCCGCCCGGTGCCGCACCGGTCCCCGCACCGGACCCGGCGGCGGTCTGCGGGCCGGCGGTCGCGCTGTCGGTCATGAAGAGCGTCGCGCCGCCGTCGATTACAGGCGGCGCCGAGGCCGAGGCGCCGAGGCCGGGTGTTTGATGGCGCGGGTCACCAGGTCGCCCTCCGCAACAACGGGTGCAAACGCAGGGGAGGTGATATTGAATTGGACGCCGGACGGCCCGGGTGGGTTAATTCGGTGCTCGAAAGCCACCGTCACGCACACGTGCACCTGCTTCACCAATGCACCATGGTGGGGACGGTTCCCGAGCGTCTTGAGCACGCGCAGCGTCTGCGCTGCATTCGTGGTGTCACGGTCGATGTCGATGGAGCGGTAAAGTGGCGCCTGGGCGACGGCGAGCAGGCGCTTGCGCCGAGAGAGAGCGAGTACAGGCTAGCGAGGGGTAAATAGCTTGCCAGACCGTCAAGGGCTGCGGTGGGCAGCCGGTCCATGGCGAGCGGAAGCAGGACCGGGAAGAGCCGCTAGAGGGCACGGGCCGCACGGACCAGCACAAGGCACGTGCCATCATATTCTAGTAGCGGCGGAGGCCGTGAAAATGAATATCTTAGTCCACGACGAGGCACGCAGACCTCCTTGACGTTCTGCGCACCCGCGACATTCTTCGGCCCCGCGCCGCATCGGCCTCCCGCTGCCCGTGGGACCGTCGTCGAGACGACACCTTGAGCTTGCCTTGAGCTTGAAGGAGGCACGTCGCGTTGAAAGAGGTGGAGGTCATCATCGTACGCTCGTCCGAGTCGGTCGTTGATGTGGTCAAGAAGAAGAAGAAGAACGTAAGTGCCGCGTGGACACGTCAGATGCCTACCATCACCGCCGATGACGATGACGTGTCACGCCGATCGCGCCTTGCGTCCACAACGGACAGCGGTGCGTCTCCGTCGAGCTCGACGCGGCCGCGCCGCGGGCGGGTCACCGTGACGATACGAGTGGGCGCATTCGCCACCCCCGCCCTCCGGCCAACTTCTCGATCGGCGCGGGATTCGCGGCGGGAAGATATCTCATGATCGAAGCAAGGGGGGTTCAAGATCCTTATCAGGCACATGGGGTAGGGGGGAGGGGGGGGGGTCCCTGGGGGGTAAAAAAAACTTTTTGTATATAAAAGATTTGGGCCTTATATGGGTATAAAGACACTGAAAATATAGTGTATACCTTCTAATTTCTATACTTCAGCACTCTCATTACTTATATCTATATACCTTCAGGCCCATGCACTTGGATAGCCCACTCTGTCAGAGGCCCATGCATCAGGTAATTGATGAGAGGTGAACATGTTGGAGTGTTGATATGGCCTGCCATGTGTGTGTTGGAAGGCTCTAGGTACATACATACCTACACATATACACATACACATGTATAAATTTTTTACAAAAAAAGTTTCACAAAGATTGAATTTTTTATCCCACTTTTTGATCGCATCAGTGGTCACATGACGCTGATCGTGAGAATATATTACTATATATGGCAGGAGGGGGGGAGGGGGGGGTCCCGGGGGGGTCGGAAAAAAACTTTCCGACCCTATATCCGTGATTCGAACTTTGAACCCCCCTTGGATCGAAGAGTTAGCGGGAGTTTCTGTGATCGCGCCATGCTTTCGCGTGCTGCGGGCGGGCGTTGGCGCTGTATCCCCCCAGCACACTGGCAGATTCCGTACCACTACGCCCAGGGTGCATAAAAGGTCGAGTGGTGCACCCACCCCGCAGTTGATCTCACGTTCCCATTCCTTCTGTACTTATGGCCCCGCTCCTCCCTCTCCTTCTCGCCCTCGCCCTCTCGAGCGGACATTCTCTCATGCATTCTCTGACGACGTGCAGACCATCTTCCGCTCCGCCGAGGCCGCACGCGCACGCGCAGGCGACGGCTGTGCTCCCGCCGCCGAGCTCGGCGCCTGCCACGCCTTCCGGAGCGCGTGGCCCGGACGGCGCGGGCGCGGCGGTGCTTCCCCCGCCCAGCTCGGCCCCGGCCACTCCGTCCAGGAAAGGGAACGGTGCCGCTGGCGCTGGCTCCGGCGCTGGATCCGCCGGACGTCCCGCCAGCTCGGCCCTGGCGACGCCGTCTACCATCCACGACCCGAACGGCGCAGGGACAGATGGCATCGACGCCGGCGACGCGGACGCGGACGCGGAGGCGACGGATGTGGACACCGGCGGTGGGCCGGACGATGACTCGGACGACGCGGGCGCCGATTTCGTCGATGGGTTGGACTAGGGTGTTTTCTTCCAGGGAGCAGCGCGGAGCCGGATCGCCGTCAGCGTGAAGTAGCCGCTGGATACGGATGTATGCCGAGTCTGAATACATGCTTGCCACTGTACACATTTCTTGATCATCGTTCACTTGTGTGAACATAATCCTGGGAGCTAATGGCTTATTTATTAACTTCTTCACTCAAAAGTAACCACTTGCACAGAGTGACCATCGATGTCCACGGGTGCCAGTTCCCTCTCGAGCGACATCATTCACAGCGGACAGACTACGTGCCCCGCACCCTCCTGCGGACCTCGTCAGGCACGCGCAACAGCGGGGCAGTCGGATGCACGCGCCGGACAGCAGCGGCGCGGTACCGGTCCGGGGCCGACGCTCCCGGGCCTGCAGAGGAAGAAGCTTGCGGGGCACTGGCACGCGGGGGCGTCCACAGTCACCTAGCAGTCCCACTCGTTAATGTAGGAACTTGCGAATGCGGCCGGACGACAGCAGCGCGGAGACGAGGGCGAGAGGGGCGAGCGCGCGGGACGGGTACATCGAGGTGGGTGCGGTCGAAGGTATGGCGATGGCTGTTCTTATACCTCCACCGTGAGCGTTATAACGTCAGCGCATATCCTCCTGTCATCCGCGGCTGGCGCCCACCTGGGTCCCCGATTGCTTCCCCCGCGGCCCGCCATTCAGAGGGTGCGGGAACCTCCCGTCCTCGGTAAGAGTGACCGGTTACAGGCGTGGACACTGAAGTCTGAGGCGGGTTGTCATCGCTATGCGTTCCACAGCCGCGCGGGCCGACGATGGTGAGGACGCATGGATGATAAGGAATGTGTTGGGGGTGTGTGGAATACTGCAGGCCAGCGGACCGTGCTGTGGAGATACCGCACAGCCTCCTCCACGCTAACTAGGGGGTTTTTCCGCCATCGGCGTCGGCATTTCGCTTGACTTTCGTCTTTTGACCAAGCAGCATTGTGCCATTGTCGGCCCGAAGCTTTCGGACGGTATATCTCTCCCCAGACCGGGAAGACGTCGTGCCTTGGGCAGGCAGCAGCACGGCCTAGGAGGAGCCCTGCAATTTGGATTCTTGCCAGCGTGCGTGTTGCATGCAGAACAGCTCACCGGCTTTCCAACCTTCTCACGAGCATGCAATTCCGCTCCTCCCTGCCGCTTCTGTGGGGGACTCGTCGCCGGCGGCGTCAGCTTCCTGTGTCGAGTTCGCCACGAGCGGCCAGTCGAGCAAAGCGCGCAGCGTCTCTTGGCATGGCGAAGTTCTTCACGACCGGCGTTCAGCCGACAGGTTCCAACACAAGGCCTCGTATTGTACGGAAGATATTGCGATGGATGATATGGAATGACTTGAATTCATATCTTGACGGTGTCGAGAAGTCTGAGGAGCTGACACTTGAGGAGTTGTTAAGGCTGTCGATTCTTTTCGAGCTCGTCCTCCCGCCCCGCTGACAGCCAAGGAATGACTGTGGCCATGATCAGCAAACGAGCGCGCAACAGATAACGAGGATTGTGGTCTATGAGCACCCTCCAACGGTCCGGTCGACGGTCGTCGTCGTGGGCTGTGACAAAAGGTGCAAGATTGATGTCAGCCGATCATCGGATCTTTTCGCGCGCCAATGACGTGTCCCATCAACCGCGTCTTGTCCCGAACACCCATGCACGACCTCGCTGGTGCCAGCCTGCCAACGGACGTTCTCTCGCCACCGCCTCCTATCCGGGGCCCGTCGGGCACTTGTCGGCCGTGCCTGCTCGCACGCCACCCCTTCCCATCCACCTCGACTGATGGCAGTGATGCATCTGAATCCTCCCGCATTCTCTATGCTCGACATACCCCGCACTTCGCGACGTAACCAGCTGCCAAGCCCGCGTGCTATTCGTGGCGCGGCCCCGGGGAAAAGTGGCGCTTATAAGGAGCGACGGCGTTCTGCCCTCCCAGTTGACACACCACACGATGCCGCTTCAGAACGTCTCCGTCCCGTTCGCCAACCTGCTGGGGCTGACGCTCGGCGGGATGATCTACGGCGCCTACCTGATCCTCTTCCTCTCGTCGATCTACCTCTTCGTCAACGGGTACACCGAATACGGGCCCCGGGCCTCCCTCTCGCGCCGCTTCGCCAAGGCGCTCAATTGTCATCGCCAGCATTGCGCTGTTTGTGACCTCCACCATCGTAAGTCCACTCCGTCTCTCGCCCCAGCGTCTCCGTTCGCTGAGCGGAAGCAGACGTGGGTCATGACGGTCTACCGCAACTTCCGCGGTTGGATCTTCTTCGAAGGCGGCACGGCCCCGGACGTCTTCTTCAACACGAATGCGGACATCTCGGAGACCGTGCAGGACGTCTTCCTCGCGCTTTCGCTCACGATCGGCGATTCGATGATTGTGCGTCCGTTCCATCCTGTTGACAGGACGACTCTCAAATCACAGATATATCGCCTCTGGGTTGTATGGCGCAACCCGTACATCATTGCGTTGCCGGTCCTCTGCGTGCTTGGCTTATTCAGTACGTCGTCTCATTGATGCCCCGAGGAGATCTAATCACGGAGGCCAGTTTCTCTGATAATAACGATTGTGGAAACGACTCGGCTTAGTTTGATCGCGCTGGACACCTGGATCACTCCCACCACGGTCTTCATCCTTGTGTGAGTTCATTTCTGCTTGACTCCCCTTCACTGACAGATTGTTCAGCACCAACGTCTACTGCACCGGTAAGAATACGGGTGACGGGTGCTCCAGACGATACTCATGAGATTTGGCATAGCCTGTATCGGATACAAGATCTTCGCAGTCGCCGCGGCCACCACAGGGCATGTCGGGCACCGCAAGCTGACGCACTTCCTCGCCATCTTTGTTGAAAGTGCTGCCGGCTACACGTCAGTCTACTTACATCTGCTCCACCAATAGTGACCATCTGCCAGCTCTTGGGCGCTCCTCTACACGATCCTCCACCAGCTCGACCGCAACCTGCAGTTCGCGGTCCAGAACACGCTCCCCGCGATGCTCGGCGCTGCGAATGCGCTTATTAACGCCCGCGTCGCGCTGGGCCGCGCCATCGAGCTGCGCGACGGGGCGTACACCACCAGCGGCGCGGGCAGCGCCTCTGCGAAGGGCGGGATCCCGCTGAGCATTCGCTTCGGCCGGCAGGTGCAGGTCGGCGACACGGCCGGCACGCGTACAGCGGGGACGCGGAGCACGGATGTGAAAACGCATACGGTTGTGGAGGAGGGCATGGTCCGGGAGTATGATGGGAGTGTTTCGAAGCCGGAGGCGTTTTGATCCGGAGCGTGCGATTGGTGTGCTTTTGTACTACCTCTGAACTGTGTTCCAACTCAGCATGCTGCTCCGCAGCTCTTTGGGCGCCTAGAACGATACTGCGATGCCGCGGAGATCAAGGTGACGTGGCTCCCGGTGAATTCCTTTAAATAGCAAGGCACAACGTTACGCCTCTCTCTCATTGAATCCCCTGCCTATCCCCCATGCATTGGCCTCACAGTGTGATGCTCCCCGCCCTCTTCTTCTCTTTCGCGCTCCTCTCCGTGCAAGCAGGGCCCGATGGCTGTGTTCGTCAACCTATTTTAACATGCCGGTTGCTAATCGGCCTCCGCGCAGAAAACAGTGCACGGGTCCTCGTGCCCATCGGGGTTCTTTCGCTGTGGAATCGTTGCCCAGGAGCCGCTGCGCTGCTGTCCGGTCGATTGAGTACATCGATGGGATGTCGATGGGCTGTAGAACAGGTCGCGACGATCAGGACTCTGAAGGATCTGCAGGGTCTGGACTCTGGAGACGGGCAGCGTTTCATGATTTCAAAGGAGCAAAACGACCAGCCGACCGTGCTGCAACCTTGTTCTCGCATGCCCATGCTGCATGCGATGGCGGAACTCGTGCTCTTGTGTTGAACACCTTGCAGGGCTGCGGTTGCTACAGCCAAGTGAGCTCGAAAGCGGGACAATAAGCACGCGCAGGCTGCATGTGCTCGTCGCCTGGCCAACGGCGACAGTCCCCACGCATGCCCGACGGGAAGGGCCCAGAAAACAAAGAGCGCGCCCGAAAGACAAAGAGCCCAAAGGCGGGGCGCCGCGAAAACAAGGGCGAGGACAATAAATCGGGTGCTGACATAAGCACAATCATTCTTCGTGGCGACTGTCATGGCAGCCCAGCCATTGTCGTCCCCTTCTGGCTCAATGGCTATTGAGGAGGAGAGAACGCGGGTCCATTGTCCCGCGGGTGGCTATAAGAGGGAGGGGTGACGGAGAAGGACGGTCTTCCCTTTGCCGTTGACGACCGACTCTTTTCTTCACGACCCCGCCCCCGTTTTTGGTGCGCTCTCCCCGGTTGCTCTCTGCGTTTTCGCTGACTGTTTCTTCTTCCAGAATCGCCGTGCGATAGTCTTCATAACCATGTCCGCCATCTCCCACGTTGTCTTCTACCTCACCCGCCCGCTTTCTGGCGCTGGTATTCCTGCCACGTCAGTGGCGACTGCCCAGGCCATCCTCCACGCTGCACTCTCGTCTCAGCCCTCCGCGTCGGGAATCCTTTCCCTCGCACCCCTCGCTGCACCGCCCATCCCGCTTCTTGCCGCCGCTATTGGCGCGGCCATCCAGTGGCCCGTGTGGTACCACGCGCTCGCTGGCGCTGCTGACGAGCTGACCGTTATCTACGGCGCAGGCTTTGTCAAGGCACGCATTGGTGCTGGCCCACTGCTCGATGTGCGGAGCGAGGAGACCCAAGGCAGTGTTGTGCGCATTTCGCGCCAGCCCCAGGCGCCCGCGCTGTCCATGGCCTTTCGCCGCCGGCCCATCGTCATTCCCACTCTCTTCGCCACCCCATACGACGACAACGACTTGAGCTCCTCTGATGATGATTCTGACGCGGAGTCAGACGCATCCTCTTCACCCACCGTCTACTCCCTCTCCCCCGATTCGCCCAAGGGAAAGCCCTTCGCGTTGCCTGCCTTCGCTGGCGTGCGCCCTTTGCCCGCCGTCCCCAAAACCGTCCCTGTCGTTTGCGCACTCCCTGTTTCCGCTCCCAAGCCCGCGCTCAAGCCGGCGACCAAGCCAGCAGCTAGCACGACGACCGCGTACCTCTACAAGGGTGGCGTCACCCGCGTTATGACCGGAGGGGTTATGCTGGGCCCCCGCGCTCCGGCCAAGCCCCGGGCCACTCGTATTCGCGCATGAGAAAGCGATACTTGACCGGGAAACCCTCAAAAAGACTCTTCCCCCAACTTCCGGGCGTAACCCTTTGCCCAACGTCGAATCACTCAAATCCACGACTACCACGCGAATCTTTTATACGACCTTTCACTCTCCATCCACGACTCTTGTAGCCCTATCTACCAACCTGTCTTGCATGCTAATGCGCTCTACTGTACCATTACCCCTTGTATTCCTCACTCGTCTGCATTGTTTCAATAATAATGGAATCCCTTGATACCTCGCTCATGCGCAGACTCGCGGCTTTGAGGACGGATTATGTTATGGGTTGTTGACGAATTGATCGCGGAGTCAGCGGGTATGACACGTCGGCAGGGCTTTCCTCCGCCCTTCATGCGACCAGGGACGTGTTTCTGGCGCGTCCGAGCCTCCTCGCTGTGGCGTCCTCCGCACGCTACCAGTGGTCAGGGCTGTAAATGGGGGCAGTGCGGTAAGTCATCCGTTATCACATCGGTACTCAAAACTCACCGACACACATCAGGGAAAACCCCCCCATGGAATTTGAACCAAATGTGTTACAATCTGGGCTAATCATACTGAATTCCACCTAATTACTTCAATTACCCTCATTACCTATTTTACCTCGCCCCCTGGATAATTAGTCAAAATTCCACTCAATTACTCCCAATCTTATGGTAATTACCTTCAATTTGCTCTCTATTTGCCTCTGTAGTTCCTTATTATCTCATGGTTACAGGGCATTAAAATGAATTAATGTAGAGAGACAATTATACATGAAAGGCCAATAGACTACTTCATACTCTACTCAGGGATATCAACCAGGTCTGAGGTGGAAGGAGCCACCAGCAGGATCACTGTCATCATCACTAACAACGAATCAGAACTGTCCATTGATAGATAGAATTGCTTGCCTATCAGCCTTGCCCACAACAGCGGTGTAGATGTCGCTCATGATCTTCGACATCCGAATGGGAGCAGACTTGCGGTTCCGACTAAGCTCCTTGCGATGATGGCGGTACACTGTCTCATATGCAGTCTCCGTAAAGCGAATAGATGTTTTGGTTCCGCTTTGCTGCTCATCTAATAGGCACCGAAGCTGGGAAGACCAATTAGACCAGGATAACATTAGATACTAGGACTCGCACCGCAGTTGCAACCAAAGCCACGATGCTATCGGGCATCTCCTTGCGATCGGGATAGGCGGGGTTGGTTGACTTGAACTCATTCGGGTACTTGACCGCAAAGGAATTCGGTCCAGTAAAAAAGCCGGTGGCTTTGAGGGCAGCCACGAGAGTATATACGAGAGTAGTGGGACTGGGACTGGGACAATGGGACTCGAGTCCCACTTTTCCCGGCCCCAGTCCCATTCCCGAGGCCCCGGAGTGGGACTCGGTTACGACATATCACTCAGATTGATGGATCAATGTATTTCGCATCAACGCGGTTGCGGCGCTGGCCGCGACGGCCGGGGTTGTCCACCCCGGACCCCACGCTGCCGCGGGCTGCCGTTCGCCACGGAGGCCCGCTGCGCGGCACTTCCCTCATCTTTTTTTGATTGTTACTTGATGCTGATTGTTTTCATAGCGCTCGGCTACACGTTCTTGGCGCCGTGGCAATGGGACTGGTGCCATCAAAGTGGGACTGGGCCCATCAAAGTGGGACTCAATCCCATTTGACGAGTCCCAGTCCCACTACTCTCGTTACTCCTCCAGCCACGACAGCTACACCCGTATATGGGCATTGGGTGTCGAAATAAGAGCGGCCCTATTGGTGTTAAGCAATGACTCTTGTGTTCAATGAAAGCTTACCTCCGCATCCTTGGTCTCCACACAAACAAAATTGTCGTTGTGCTGGAGGAGCGCAATGCGGGTGGTGAAAGCATCACCCAGAAGATTGCTATATGCATACTTGCCAGTGACTTCGGTCTTGTCGCAGTCCTTCTTGACATCAGACCGCGTTGTCGAAAGGCGATCGACAATCTAAATAAGTTTGTATCGTCAGAGGGCGGAGCTGAAGGGGAATAGAATGACATACCAACTCAGGTATGCCTGCAGGAAGACGGCCATGGCGTTTCGCCAGCTTGTAGATATGTTCCGCTCCTGGTACGAGAGGCGCAACCTCAAGCACCAGCTCCAGCGCAAGTGCTTGGCGCGTGACGATGACGGGGTACGAATCCACAAAGATGACGCGAAGCTTGATCCTGGTGTGGCATTTTGTTATAACGGCGTACCACTCCGCAGTCTGCTCGAGGAGCCTTAGCTCCTTCCCCGGTACCGCGGGATATACAATGACGGTGCTGGGGTGGTAGTTCATCCAGACGTGGTCTTGTTCTTGCTGGGTAGTTGGCGGGCCGCGGCTAGAAGCTAGAGGCCCAGACGATGGTGCCGATAGAGGACAAACTTGAGGAACCTATTTGGGCGTCAGTATACAATCATCTCAAATACAAACATTACCTCTCTGTCAGCGTTGGCTCGACGGACAGACTATAATCCAATCAGCACGATGAGCGAGCAAAAATTAAAAGCATACCTTGATGCTGCGCAGGGTGGGGAGGTTTCTAAAGTCGATGTATCGATCCTGTGCAGATTTCGTTAGCACCGTATCGAAGCACGATGACACACACAGACCTTGCCCGAAGACCGATGTCTGCTGTAGTGAGGCAATTCATCACCATCTTCATCGTCGTCTTCTTTGCTGCCTGGATCCGAGTCGTGCTTGTCACACTCGTCGTCGCGCTCATCGTCGCGCTCATCGTCCTCGAGGTCATCGTCATCTTGTGGCTGGACATTGGTATCCTGCAGTTATATCATGAGCACAGAATTATAAGAGGTTTAGACATACCATTTCCTCGTACTCCTCTTCGTTGTCTTGCTCGTAGGTGGCAGAAGCCTCGTAATCTGTGTCAGAGACACTAGTGGCATGAGATTTCATCGACATGCTGCTGCCAGAGGAGGCGCTGCGGCGTTCAGCGCGAGGGCTGGGTATGGGTATGAAAGCATCCTAATGAAGTTAGTATTGAACACTGAGAAGTACGATGGCTCACTTCATAGCCCATCTCTGTATCGTCGTCGAAGAGATGGGCAGGATTTTGAGCCCTATCATCGTCTGCTGCCCGTTGAGAGCTTCGGACATGCGTGCGCTGCTAGAATGTAAGTTTGCGAGTGCAGCAGAAAACGAAGGCCTAGCTTACCCCACGGAGCAGCTCCTCCCCATCCTCGTCTCCGTCACCCTCCTCGTCTCCTTCCCCCTGGCCTTCTGAGTTTGATTCCGACTCTGACGAGCCGTCGTTGTGGACGTGCTCAGAGTCGGCCTCATCTTTTTCGGATGACACGGGTTCGGGAATGAGCCGATGAGCTGGCACCAATTTGGTGAGTTTGGGGCCGGTTTTTGCGCCAGCTGGCCAAGGGTAAGTGTGCGAAAGAATGAGTAGAGTCAATAATGCGACTCACCTGCAGGCTTCGGCTTTGTAAACGCGTCATCGAGGTCGGGAGGATGATAAGCTAGAAGCAGAAGTCAAGTTAGTCACGCCGCTACGCTGACACTCAAGTATTCTGCAGCAACTCACCGTTGTCACCACTTCGACTTGCTCGAGCTCTTGTGGGCTGGACACTGGGGTTCTTTTTTCGACTCGGCGGGGCTTGCGAATCGGACTTCGACGTCGTTTTATTATCTGTGTGGAGTGAGCCTTAAACAAACGAGGCGGACAGCTCCAACTTGCCAACCGCGGCCGGCGTGGGCTTGCTCTTCTTGGTCCGAGTACGGCCGTCGTTCGCGTTGGATGCAGAACGCTTGCGTGACTCTGCTTGATACTTTTCTGTGGGAGTGTTACTTGAAGGGTGAAGGCAAGACAGAAAATACGACCTGAAGCTTCAAGCTTGTCGCTTTTTTTCCGTGTTCGAGGGCCGGCTGCAGCAAAGTTAAGGTAATTCCGTGCTCTAGGGGGAAAGTCTTACCGCCCTGGACAATTAGATGGTGGTCTGCGGCTGCCCGTGCTTGCGCGCGCTTGCGACGACGCTCAGCGCGACTGCTGGGTCCACCGGTGGGTTAGTCATTGAGAATGGCCGGGTTGAATGAGGGTGGGGAATACTAGAGGCTGAAAATTTAAAGAGCGGCGGGGAGTCAAAGTAGGTGAAGGATTGGGGGAGAAAGAAAGAGGGTTAAAAAAAAACGGCGCGTCTGCGGGGATTTCCCTCCGATTCTTGGCATCCAGGGTCCAGACACGGATGGTATCCGAATGCGTCGTAAGCACACTTACCTTTACTATCTATCCAATCTCACTCCGCTACAGCTATGGTCTCCGTTCAATGCAGTGGTTGCAACAAACAGTTCTCGAAGAGTGGCTACACAAGCCATATCAGCCGCACAAAACAACCGTCTTGCCATGCCATCTACCTCCGTGCGCTCCAAGACGCTGCTGACGAAAGCGCTCGCGCGACGACTGCCACGCTCGACACCACTTCGGATACTGATGTCGAGATGTTATCACAGTACGGTGATACTCAGCGGGTGACCTGGATCTGCCTACTGGGGTGTTCACTGGCGACTTCTTTGGAACTGATTACACGGCGGAGGATTTTGCGATGAATGGCGATGACTCTGGGCTTGATCATGATGAGCAGATGGTTGCGCATGCAGGGGAGGAGGAGGAGGAAATGGAGGCAGACGCAAATGCGGAACTCGAATGCGGCTACGAGCCACCGCGACCGCTTCTTCATCGTGCCCCAGTCGAAGACAACAAGGAATCCGCTAATCTGCCTGCACCCTCCCCCGTTATACGAAAGCAAATCGAAGACCGTTTTCACGGTCAGCCTGTTGTCGACCGTTATCCCAGCAGTGTTGCTGGGAAGCCTATCCGTCGGGAGCGAGGGGACACGAGCGAGGAGTCTTACGGTCGACGCTTAGATGTGGATGGTGCGACGGATAACCCATATGCACCATTTGCATCCAAAATGGATTGGGAGATTGCACAGTGGGCAAAGATGCGAGGGTCAGGGTCAACTGCATTCACCGATCTGCTCAAGATCGACGGCGTACGTGAATATGGCGAAGTACTCTGGCTGGATATCTTACATGGCTACACAGGTCCGTGAGTCGCTTGGTTTGTCGTATGGTACTTCGGCCCAGCTCAATACTATCATTGACAAACAACTCCCTCAGGCTGGCCGACCTGTATTTGAACGCAGTGAAATCCTTGTTGATGGCGAGGTCTTCGATCTATATTCCCGCAACATACTCGATTGTATTCGTGCCCTTTATGGAGACTCTAACTTTGCACCACATTTGCTAGTTCTCCCCGAGCGTCATTATATCGACAAAGACCGGACAATTCGAATGTACCACAACATGAATACTGGGAAGTGGTGGTGGGCAACACAGGTAGGCGGCTATTCTGAGTCATGACTTGCTTTTGACATTTCTCAGGAGGCGGTAGAGAAGGAGAATCCCGGCGCAACGATCATTCCCATTATCATCTCCTCTGACAAAACACAATTGACACCGTTTGGCAACAAGACCGCATATCCCGTGTACCTGACTATCGGAAATATTCCCAAAGAAATTCGTCGCAAGCCCTCTCGGCAAGCTTATATCCTACTCGGCTACCTGCCAACATCTAAAATGAAGCATATTACAAATAAAGCTTCACGGCGTCGTGTTATCGCCAACGTCTTTCATGCCGCAATGAAGTATATTGTCTCGCCATTGTCAGTTGCGGGGAAAACGGGTATCGAGATGGCAAGTGGAGATGGTGTTGTCCGTCGTGGCCACCCAATCTTTGCTGCCTTCGTTGGGGACTATCCAGAGCAGGTCCTTGTGACTGGGGTCAAGACAGGAGAGTGTGGCACCTGTGAGGTGGAGGCAAATCAACTGGGCGAGTTAGCATCCTTTCCGCTCCGGGATCTTGATGCGGTTTTGTCAGCGCTGTCGCTAGTCGACGAGGAGCCAGCAGAATTCAAAAAGGCGTGTACGGAGGCTGGCATTAAGCCGATTTATCATCCATTTTGGGAAGATTTGCCGTATACGAACATTTTCCGTGCAATTACACCCGACGTTCTTCATCAACTCTATCAGGGTGTGGTCAAACACTTGATCAACTGGGTCTTAGCATGCTGTGGCGAGGACGAAATTGATGCCAGATGTCGACGCCTTCCTCCAAACCATAACATGCGGCTGTTTATGAAGGGAATCTCCGGCTTGTCACGAGTTACTGGCCGAGAGCATGACCAGATTTCTCGGTTTCTTCTGGGGATCATTATTAACATCCGACTACCTAATGGGCTTTCTTCTGCGCGTCTTCTATCGGCTGTCCGGGGCCTTTTGGATTTTGTATATCTCGCTCAATATCCGATGCACACTGATGAAACTCTGGGACTCATGGATGATGCATTACAGACGTTCCACGAGAACAAGCAAATCTTTGTCGACCTTGGTGTGCGTTCGAACTTTAATCTTCCTAAACTACACAGCACTACGCATTACACCGCATTCATTCGTCTCTTTGGCACGACCGATAACACAAATACGGAATACACTGAACGACTGCATATCGACCTTGCCAAAGATGCCTACCGGTCAACAAACTTCAAAGACGAATTCCCACAGATGACACTCTGGCTCGAGCGAAAGGAAAAAGTTGTTCAGCATGCCAAGTTTATTCAGTGGAAAATTGATGGTTGTCCTGCTCCTCCGCCTCTAGTCAAACTCCACCCCGGAGTGATTTACGAGCGAAAATTATTGATGGCCAAGAACCCAACTATCAAGGCTGCTCGCATTCAAACCTTGGTCGAGACGTATGGTGCCACATTATTCCGTGAAGCGTTATCACAGTTTGTGGTCCGTCATTCATATCCAGCACTGACTCAACACGAAATCACCGCCCGCGCTCGCCATTACACTCTTCCTTTCAACCAACTTCCTATCTTTCATCGAATTAAATTCACGACACCCGATCCATACACCTCGGCAAATGATATCAACACCATTGTTGACTCGGTTCATGTTGAACCAAGCCGACAGGGGCCTTCTGGTCCCATTCCGGGCCGCTTTGACACTGTTCTTGTTAATGATGGCACTGGAGGGATTACTGGTACTCAAGGTAAGAATCTACTCAAAAAAATTATTCTACTCACCTATGCGCAGGCTATCGTATTGGACAAGTCCGTGTTATTTTCAGCCTTCCCACCAATATTGTTGCTGCATTATTCCCATCTGGAATCAAACCCCCCACACATTTGGCATATATCCAATGGTTCTCAGCTTTCACCTCTCAACCAGAACCACATCATCTCATGTACAAGGTACAGCGAGTTATGAAGGATGGAGAGCGTCTGGCTACTATTGTTCCTGTTGCCAGCATACGACGCAGTGTGCAGTTACTTCCAAAGTTTGGCCCAGTGGCACCAGTAGAGTGGTCATCAAGCAATGTGCTGGAAAGGTGCCCAACTTTTTTTGTTAATACCCAGTCAGATCGTCATATATATGCTACACTTTTCTAAATCTATACAAATTGACGGTAATTGGCCTGATTTTACCTAGAATTACCAGAATTACCCTAAATTCTTCCAATTTACCTCCTGCTTACCTTTGGGCAAGGTAATTTCCAGAAATTTCCCAAAGGAGGTTTTTCCTGATGCACTTGTCCAGTGCGCTGACTGTCCGTTTAGATCCGCCAGCGTCGACATGGTGCACGCTGCGACCGTTTAATTTCCGGGAATCCGTTCCCCTTTGCGCAGCTGTGTCCACTGTCCAGCGTCCCAGCCATGTCCCAGCCATGGCCGCCAGTTGTCCCCTCGCCTGGGTCCGTGGAGCGAGCCAGAATTCAAGTTCTTGGACTCAATTGTCGATAACCACTGACGTCGACTGTGCAGCGTGCGACCGCGCGTGTCGTCGAGGCGTTTATGTGCGAGGCGTTTGGGCTCTGCTCCCTTCCTTTTCCCACCCGTGCTCGATCGAGGGGAGTAGTGTGGGAACGGAGAACCGCAGAGGGAGATGTGTGTGCCAGGGCTAAAATAGCGATGGGCTGATTATTTATAGCTTCGTGTTGCAGGCACTGGACGCGGACGACGATAAACGGACTGGCTGCCTCTGCACACGGGTGCTTCAAGTTTGGTCACGGTCGGGAATCGGGATGCCTGCGAAGACAGCCGCAACCCTTGCAGAACGCTGGCCGGAGAGGCACCGGCGGCAGGCTAAGTATCACGCACTTTCGCATGTGGGGTAAAGCCACCGGCTTCCGCAGACGCCGTTTCGCGCTCTCCCAAGATCACGAACGGTCCACCTTACAAATGGGGGCCCGCGGCGTACACGCTCAGGGAAAGTCTCTTCCATGCTACGTCAACGCTGTGGCCTGTTGCTCGGGTAACAGCTCAGGGTCGCGCGGGGTATATAAGGCTTTCGACGCACGCGGGACTTGTGCGTTCTCTTTTGGCTCTTAAACTCTTTGCCCCCGTCCCACGAACCCTATCACCCACCCAACGAAAAGAACTCTACGATGCGTCTCGCGACTGCCACACATCAGGAAAATAAAAATGGGCTGGGGGCACTGGGCGAGCTGGAGAGCTGGGGCACTGGGCCCAGAGTTTCCAGAATCAAAAATTTCCCCAGAATCACCGTTCTGGCACCAGAATTGCGCCAAGTCCATGATCAGCACGCGTGATCACATATGATGTGATATTGCGTGCTTGATCTTCCACGTCCGCAAGCCACATTGGTTGTTTCCTCCCACCACTTCCCCCCTTCCCTGCGCCTCCCTCTCGTCGCCTCCACTCCCGCACGGGCTATGACAACTGCCACGACGGTGGCCGGGCCCCGCTCGCCGCCTCGCGACTCTCCTGTGCTCCGTTCCTTGCGCGGCGTGTCCGTGTGCCGCTTCCTGCTTCACCTCTCCCATCCCAGCAACAGCTCGCAATGCTCCCAGCTTCGGCCGTCAGCTTGCTCCCCACCCTCAATCATTCATCAAGCCTTCAAATGCCCTACTCCCTCAAGTTGCTGCGACCAGCAAGGTTAACATACCCTCAAGCATGCAAGCTGAAGCTTTCCTCAAGCACTTCAAGATGCTTTTCGATCAAGTCGGTTGTCAAGAGTCAAGTTCTCGCTACACAAGCAACAAGTATTCGGAGGTAGTTGGGTGGGGACACTTTAGGGGAACGATGGTACGTTTGAGTTTGCCATATATTACCGCTGTCTGATGTTGACCTTCCAGATTGTTGCTCTATATCCACCTCGCCCCTCACTGGCATTATAGTCCTGCATCAAGACCATCGACATCCCAAACCAGTATTGTGACGGATTGGCCACGGTCAAGTGAGTGTTTTTTCTCGCGCGATACTACCCTGACTAATGTACCATTTGCAGCATTTGGGCCGAGTTGTGGGTCTGACGCAAAGGGGTGTAGCGTCGTTGGCCGCTGGGCCAGGTTTAATCTGCTATTGCATGTATATATGTACCCGCTGAATGTGATTTTGCCTCGTTTACACCAGAACCATCAAATTACAGCCAGAATCAGCCAAGTATGGCCAGAATTGATTCTGGGGCCAGAATCAAAACTGGAGGGGGGCGTGAACATTGGGTCCAGTTTGGTTCTGGGGAACTGGAAGAGCTGGGGGAGCTGGGGCCAGCTCCCCCAGCGTGATTTTATTTTCCTGATGACAGTCCTCCTTGGCGCCGCCCTTGTAGGCGCGCAAAACCCAGGTCTGTCCCCGCCCGTCTTGCTATCAAACCTATCTGACGCGTTACCCCTCACAGATGATCCAGGTGCAGGTCGGCGCGGAGACCAGCACGCCCGGGGGCATCTTCCAGTTCATGCCGAACAACCTCACCGCGACTAACGGCTCAGTCATCACCTTCACCTTCAGCGGCATGTGTGTCTCGTCTCCTCTTTGTATGACCATGCCTTGCTGACCGGCCCCGACAGCCCCGGCAACCACAGCGTGACGCAGTCGACGTTCGCAGCGCCCTGCACGCCCGTTCAAGGGCGGCTTCGACTCCGGCTGGGTCGAGATCCTCGCGAATACGACCACGCTCCCCACGTGGCAGCTCACGATCACCAACGACCAGATCCGTGCGTCCCCGTCCTCCCTTCCTCCGTTTCTGCAAGACTGACGATATATTCTGCAGCGATCAGGTTCTACAGCAAGCAAATGCTCCCCTCGCCGCACTGCAACGCGGGCATGGTCGGCGGGATCAACATCAAGCCCGGCCCGAACAGCCTCGCCGCGTTCAAGGCCGCCGCGCAGAAGGCCCCGCTCGATGTACGCCATTCCCGGGCCCATGCGTCACTCCCTCTTTTCGCATTCGCTGACATGTATTCGGCAGATGCACGAAGGCGGGCTCGTCAGCGTCGGGCGCCTCGGCCTCTACGCTGCCCGTGATCGACAGCGGCGCGACGCTCTTCATGACCGACAGCGCGACCGCCCGGCCCGCAGACCGCCGCCGGGGGCTCCTCGGCCGGGGCCGGGACCGGTGCGGGGACCGGCGCGGCGCCGAGAGGGTCCGGGGCGCCGCCGCCGAGCAGCGCCGGGCGCCTCGGCTTCAACCCGGCGCTCCTCTTCATGGTCGTGGTCGGGCGCGATGGCGGGCGCGGCGATGGTGCTGTGATGTAGACCGTAGAGTCTAGACGCGCGATTTCGTAGAGCTAGCTCTCTGTCTCGGACCGCGATCGAATACTCTTATTTACACGTAGTAGCAGCTACCGTCAATAACAGCCCGTCTGTCATAAGTCTGTGATGTTCTGCTGGGCAGTCAATATAACCTTTCAGGGTAAAAGCTCCATTTGCATCACTGATTGAAAGTTGTGAAATGAGAGCAATGGTGAATGCAGAAACAACTCTACAAACAACCAAAACACCCAAATCAAGGTCTGTGTGTTCAGGGCTCCATGGAAAGTATAGTATATCCATGCTGCAACCCATAAGAGCAAGATGATGATGACCAAGTTGAGGTGGTGAAAGTGATGTGAGTGTGATGGTATCACTGATGGCAGTGATGATGTTAATGATGGGAAGTGTGTCATGGATAAGACCCGGCCCGTCCGCTCCGGCGCTGTGAAGAAGAACAACTAAGTCCAAGCGAGGACTAGATGTGGGCCAAGGTCGTACCGAGGGCGGCGCTGCGGGAGGAGTAGATGCGCAGGGTAGATTAGATAAGATTTACTTAGCTTTTGCAGTAATCGTAGAACTCGGGCTCGATGTAGCGCTTGTGAAACGCGCGAAATGCGAGAGATGCTGAATGCGGAAACAACTCCACAAACAAACAAAACCAACAAATCGTGGTTGGTGTGTTCGGGGCTCCATGGAAAGTACTGCTGCAACCCATAAGAGCAACATGAGGGTAATGACCAAGTTGGATAAGAAGCTTGAGTGTAGGTGTGGTTGTGATGATGAGATCAATGTTGATGTTGATGGTAGCTTGGGTGAACAAGGTGGTGGTGGTGTTGTTGTTATTGAGGTGGGTGGAGAAGAAGAGGGTGTTGACCCAGAGGAGAGCAGGTGTGACACACAGAGCATGTCTCTGGTAGCCAAACATACTCCCAACATCAACCCACTCCAAAATGAACACAACCCAAATCCAACAACAAAACCCAAAATGGTAGTGGTCACAGTCACAGTCACAGTCACAGCTGGTATGTTTTTGAGATTTGATATGCTTTCTCTTGTTTTTGTTGTCTTTCCTCCCATTATGCACATGCAAACCACCAGCATCAAGAGCAACAACTGTCACACCAAGAATGGCATAAATGTCAGGGGAACCTCCCTTTCGGCCCCTCGGAGACGCCTCCGATTCCGGTCCGACTCCGGTTCCGTCTCCGGTCCGGCCCTCCATCTCGCCCGCACAATCACCGATCCGTCAACGCCCTCCCGACGGTCGCCCTGGGACCTCGCCTGCGACGCCGCCCAAGCCTTCTGTGCCCGACAGCGGCAGCTACGGACAAGCAGTATATAGTCAGCTACCTAGCAGGCGGACCCTTAGAGTTTCTTCTCTTTGGATCCTCCCCTGCTAGGTCAGCTTCATTTGTATTCGCTTACCAATGTTCACGCTTTGGATCCTCCCCTGCTAGGACCTTGATCTCAGGCCTCCGGGGTTGCCCTTACAGCAGAAGAAACTCTCTACGGGATCAACCGGACAAGATTGCCAGGTTCGGCGCTGACTCAGGCTCGAGTACGAGTCCGTTCCGCCCTCGTCACCGCCCCTGCCACTTGTCCCCTCCTCCTCTACTCCTGTGGTCCCCGCACCCGTCATGCCGTCCGGAGTCACTCCTACCGCAGACGCCCGGCTGGACTCACTCGAGGCGAAAATCGACCGCCTAACTGAGGCCCTTACTCTTCTCACCACCCAGGCTTCCGCTGCCGCTGCCGCCGCTAATACTGCTGGCGGACCCCAAACAACACCACCCCCGGAGACGTCGATTCCGACTCCGACTCCGGTTCAGGGCGATTCCGAGGCCCTCTTTGGCGACATCAACCTCGCCTCAAAATTGGTCTTGCGACCAAACCCTCCGTTCACCTTCAACGGCGATCGGAAACGCGGGCGCGTTTCTCTATGTGGTCCGCACCTCGCCCGCCTTGCCCCTGAGGCCTTCGTGGTCAACGGAGAGGCGAGCGAGGAAAAGGCCGTCCGCTATGCCATGTTGTTTATGGCAGAAGGACCCGCTCAGCAATGGGCGGAGCGCCACGGAAGCAAAGCCCCGTTTCCGTTTCCGTCCTGGG